CTCCCTGTCCTTGTCCCTCTCCCTGTTCCCTGTCCTTGTCCCTGCCCCCTGTCCCTGCTCCCTCTCCCTGCTCCCTGTCCCTGTCCCCGCTGGATCCCGAGTTGGATCCCGAGGGATCCCTCCTCTCTGTGCCGCAGGGGAGGTGGTGGTCAGCGTGGAGCCCGAGGTTCCCATCCGGAAGATGGACACGGTGGTGAAGCTGGAAGCTGTGAGTGCCCCATTCCCGGCTTTAGCGCCTCTTCCCCCACAGAATTCCCACTCCCCGAGGGATCCCACGCGGCGTCCCACAGGGATCGGGGTCTGTCACACACTCTGGAAGTGCCTGGGCCCGTTTTGCTGGAGCTTCAACTCCTCCTCACACCCTCCTGCTCCACAAAAACAGAGCCCTGGAGCTGCTCCCAGGGCTGGAGCCCCTCGGCTCTGGATCCAGGCTGGGAGAGCTGGGAATGGCCAGGCTGGAGAAGGGAAGGATCCAGGGAGAGCTTGGAACCTGAAGGGGCACCAGGAGAGCTGGAGAGGGACTGGGGACAAGGATGGAGGGACAGGACACAGGGAATGGCTTCCCACTGCCAGAGGGCAGGGACAGATGGGAGATTGGGAAGGGATTCCCGGCTGGGCTGGAATTCCCAGGGAAGCTGTGGCTGCCCCTGGATCCCTGCAGTGTCCCAGGCCGGGTTGGATCCCCTGGGATAGCGGGAGGTGTCCCTGCCTGTGGCAGAGGGCTTGGAATTAAATGACGTTTGAGGTCCCTTCCCACCCAAACCCACGCGGGACTCCACGCCCAGGGGGGTTCGCTCCTGACCCGCTCTCCCTCTCCCTGTTCCCTCCCGCCCCGCACGGCAGAACTCGGACGCGGTGGTGAAGGTGGACGTGGTGAGTGCTGGACCTTTCTCTCCTCCCTCTCCCAGCCCTTCCCAACGGGCCGCCCGCCGCATCCTCACCCCTCCTGGACAGGCAGGGCCACAGCGTGCCGTGTCCCCCGTGGGGGTGGCAGTGGCTCCTGCCGCCTTTGGGAAGCTCCTCCAGGCCCGGATCTCTCAGCCCAGCTGCCCCGGGAGCGGCGGGACGGGCAGGGCTCTGGGCAGGGGGGGTCGCTGGGTGTTCCCACCACAGGCTGGGAAAGGTCTCCTCGCAGCACAGAGCGGCCCCAGGGGGCTTTGCCGGTTGCCGGGAGAGATTCGGGAGCTGTGGGAATGCGTGGATGGAAGGGATGACGGGAATCTGGGAAGGGGTTTCTGCATCCCTGGGAGTGTTCCAGGCCGGGTTGGGACGGGGCTTGGAGCAACCTGGGCGAGTGGACGGTGTCCCTGGTGGAACGGGATGAGCTTTGACTCCCCTCCCAGCCCAGAGCGTCCCGTGGCTCTGAGTGTCCCTGGATCCTCTGGTGCCTCGCTGTCCCTACACGGGGGGAGGTGACAAAACCCCCGGGCTGGGCGGTTGTGCCTCCTCAGGCACCACCCGGGCACTTGAGGGGACATTTCCCATCGCCCTGAGCCCCCTCCCCTTCTGCCTTTGCTTCCCTTCAGAGCGAGGAGGAGAAGAAGAAAAAGAAGAAGAAAGGAGGAGGAGGAGGAGGAGGAGGAGGAGGAGGGGAGGAGGCGGAGGAGGAGGAGCCCGACGAGAGCATGCTGGACTGGTGGTCCAAGTATTTCGCGTCCATCGAGACCATGAAGGAGGTGGGTTCGGGGCAGGGCGGGGCCGTGCCTGGGGAGGGGGTGGTGACGGGAAAACGTTGTCCCCTGGCTGGGGGGGGATCCCACCCGTTCCCAGCTGCTCCCAAAGCCCGCTGGATGTGCCGCGTCCCCTGCCAGCCCTGCCTGTCCCGGAGCCATCCTGGAATGGCTGGAAAAGCCCTCCGAGATGGAGCCCAACCGCCCAGGCCACCCGTGTCCCCAAGTGGATCCTCTGGAGCCCCTCCAGGGAGTGGATCCTCTGGACCCCCCCTGCCCCGGGGCAGCTTTTCCATGAGGGGACCGTTCCCGATATCCAGGGGTTTCCCTCCTCCCCCAGCAACTCCGGCAGCAGGAGGCGGCGGCGGCAGACGCGGAGGAGAAGGAGGAGATGGAGATTGGAGAGGGTGAGCGGGGCAGGAGGGAGGGATGGGGGGACCAGGATTCCTCCTGGAAACTGGAGAGGGTGAGCGGGGCAGGAGGGAGGGATGGGGGGACCAGGATTCCTCTCGGAGGTTGCAGAGGGTGAGCAGGGCAGGAGGGAGGGATCGAGGGCACCAGGATTCCTCTCGGGGCTCGGCCACCCCCTGAGGAAGCTGCAGGGGCTCGCAGGGCGCCGTGTTTGCCCGGGAGGGGTCAGGTTTTGGAAGCCCTTCCACCCGCACATCGAGGCCTCCCCGTCTGCTGGCCCAGGGAGGGCAGACAGACAGACAGACACTTGCAGGGCAGGTCCTTTAACCAATCCATCCCAAATGGACCGTGCCCTGGAGGCGTTTCTCCCTGAAGGAATTTGGGGCTCTGGGGGGCTCAGTTGGGCCGTTGCACGAGTCTGAATTTGGGTGACATTAATTCTCCACTGAAGATTCCGCGGGCCAGGAGTCCTGGGGGGTTGGACAGGTCGGGCAAGGGTGGCTTTGTCTCCTTTCCCGTCCCACCAGCGGGGCTTGGAGGGCTTTCCCTGGGGACTGGCAGCCACACACCCCGTGAATTCCGTGTCCCCGTGGTGGATGCCAAGTCCCTGAGCTGAGGGAAACCCTGAGCCTGCTTTCTTCTGGAAGGCTGATTTTCACCTCCCGGCAGAGACGAGGCTGGGTCATGCTGAGCTCAGAGAGAGCTCTGAGCGGGTCCTCCCCGGGTTTCCCTCCCGTGTCCCCCCACCCCGTGTTTTCTTTCCATCTCCCGAGAAGGATCCACTTCCCCTGGCTCTCCCCTTCCTCCCTCCTTCCCCTCTTCCACGCCAGGTCTGTCCATCCCCTCTGGCACTGCCCAGCCCCAGGAAAGCTGGCAGAGGAGGGACAGGGTTCCTGAGTGCCCCCTCCCCATCTCCCCCCACCCTCCTCACCCCCCATCTCCTCCTCCCCGACGCTCCCCCGGGGCTCAGACCCCAAATCTGGGCACTCCTCTCCCCCCCAAAGGCTCCAAGGCTCAGGCCAAGCACAAGGACAAGCCCAAGGCACCCAAGGAGGACAAGAAGAAGAAGCAGCAGGCGGCCCCCGAGCTCCCCGAGAGGAAGAGCAAGCAGAGGGTTGAGGAGCTGAAGGTGTGTGTGGGAGGGGTGGGGGGTGCAGGGAAGGCTCCACTGCTTCCAAGGACACCCCCTAATCCTGGGGGAGGTGTGCCCTGGGGCATCCCAGCTGGGGCTGTGCCCTGGGACGAGGATTGGCACCCTCTCTGCAGGGTTTGGGGCAGTGGGAGGTCACAGGCTTGGCAGGGGAGGGGGTTCCCTGGGCCAGCTGGGATGTGTCCCCCCCAGAGGGGAAGCAGAATTCCAGCCTGGATTCGGGGCAGGGCTGGGCTCTGGTTCCCAAGGATCTATTAGGATTATATATATATATATATATATATATATATATATATATATATATAATATATTTGTTTTATATATATATTTATTAGGATTATATTTATAAATTCCCAAGGATTTATTAGGATTTGTGTAGCCTGTGGGAATTGGGCACTGTGAGCTGATGTGTCCATGTTCACAGAATCCCGGGATCACCGAGGTGGGAAAAGCCCTCCCAGCCCGTGGATCCCCCCCCTGTGCCCCATCCCCACCCTGTCCCCCAGCCCAGAGCTCTGAGTGCCTGCCTGGGACACCTCCAGGGCTGGGCACTCCAAACCTCCCTGGGCAGCCCCTGCCAGTGCCTGACCACCCTTTCCAGGGACAAATTCCTCCTGCTGTCCCCCCTGCCCCTCCCCTGGCACAGCTGGAGGCCGTTCCCTCTCCTCCTGTCCCTGTTCC